TAATTATTATATTTAAATATAAATATATATCTTTTACCTCGCGAAAGGATATACGTCCATCACCATCTTCGTCAACCTCGTGTATCATTGCCTTTAAACCGAGATGAGTTTGAGGTGCTCCTAAAACTTCCATCATGCGTTTCAATTCATTTAAATCGAGATAACCATCGTGTCCGTCGTCAAATCTGCAAATTGATACAACAGTTCATAAATATGTTAAATAAGTAAGTAACTAATAAAGAAAATTTTCATATTATACCACACAGATCTATCTCATAATCAGAATAAATCGAAAATATTTTAAACGAGGGGTAGGGGACAGGGTCCTTGGCGGGGTACTTTAGAATATATCTAAACCAGTGATTCCCAACCCCCTTTATTTTCTTTTATCATACTATATCTATAAAATTCTAATGTGTCTTTTAAACCCCCCCCCACCCTGTATAATAATTCTTATTTAAAAATTAAATTTCTCGTTCACACGTTGAATTAACTCGATCTAATCGTATAGAAAGAAAAAGAAAACAAACGTAATTGAATTAATTCGTATTACGAAAAATTTTAAGAGAGTACAAAATAATTTATTATTAATAAAATTCATTTGTTTATATTCGAATTATTCTATTTAAAAATGTAATTTTGTCTACTGTATCTTAACGTTGAGAACCACGGATCTAAACGATAAAACAAAGTTCATATAAACATATTAGTCATTCGTTTCGAAAAGCCCTTACGTTATATTAGTAGAAAAATCAAAATGGAGATTTGTTAGACGTTATTGAACTTATAAATCAATGAAATAACATTAAAATAACGAGAATTGTATATTAAAATTTTTTAATAAAATTATTAGAATAAAGTTATAGAACATATTATATAAAGAAAATAAGACAATCATTGGTTAGATGTTTGCAGAATAGTATTCATATGGTAAAAGGTCATTTCAAATATCTCTTATATGAAAGTAAGCAGATAATATTTGTTAGAATCAAATCTATTCTATAGATTAGAAAATAAAATTCAATATAATTATGAAACCCATATTTGTATGAACTTAATTTATCGTTTAAATGTATTGAAAATATTTCTCATTTATTTTAGTACACCCTATATATATACATATATATATAAAAGAT